TCATACACGTTATAAAAATAATATTAGAAAATATTACTGTTAAATCAGCTAAGCTGTTGCAGCAATAAACAACTATGATGCGCTGTAACAGACTTGCCACAACAACAATTACAACAACAAACCACTTATCGTACATGCAAATGATTATAAATACAATGGAAGGATGTTGTGAACAGTTATAACAAGATCATAACATTGATTTTAATTTTATTTTGCAAATGTAATTGGATGCACAATAGCTGCCAAGAGCGCATCAAACACGATTTAGCTGCTGAGTATGGTATAAATAGTAGGAGAAAATAATGCAAATACTGGGAGAAAGGATTAAGCGATAAATTAAATGTTCGATGTGAAAATATAATTTTCTAGTGACGAGAAACATGGGAATTAAAATGAGATGACTAAATGATTGCAAATTTTATAAGCACTGCGCTTGTTAAATCCGATTTCACATTTATTGAAAAATGTTTTGATGTGATAATGCATGATGACTATAAAATTTCAAAGACCATACTAAAATTTAAACAGATATTTCGATTCGTTTTTGAGTAACAGCCTTTTAAAGTGTAGCCTTTCAGGTCAATCAGCTCAAACAGTTTAACTCTAAACGCGTTTTTCTCAAAACCACATTAATCAAAAGCTTAGGTGATTACTCGGAATTAATGATGTGATCACTTTGAAATTTTATCTGCATATTCCGTATGCGGTACTCGAGGCAATGATCTAACAGTTTTTGATCTGATCAAAAATCTAATTTAGCAGGTCCAAAACGACCAGAATTTTTTGGTGAAATTCAAATTTATTTTGGCAATTTTTGGATGTTTTCGACTATAGGCCTTTGTACGCACAATATCTTCTGGCAGATAAGCCAGATTTTAAGTTTTATCCACGGTGAAGACCGGAGTCCCTGCGGAAGTGAGAGATATTTTGCTACGCTGTTGGAGATCGATGTAACTCGAAAATATTTAATTACTTCGTACAAAATTTTATTATATACAGTAGTTTCGCCCTCTAGGCTGTCATACTAGATAGTTCTAGTGAATATGGAAGAGCTACAAAAGCTCTCAACATCAAGCTCAACTTTTAATACTACCCTAATATTTACCTATACTCTCACTTTAAAGTCAAAGGCGTCAATTTCTCACGAAAGCCAGAAATAAATCTTCTTCTGTACTCTTTAAAACAATACAAAAGTTATGTTACTTATTTCAAGGGCTACAATAAAATACTATCGTCATTGCAATTGTTCTTCCATTTTAATAGCCGTTAACATATTATCAAATTCAATGAAAAATCGTTAAACCACACTGACAATCCAGTGAGAAAACCAAACTTATATTATTTTTGAAATATTACGCATTAAGAATATACTTTATATCAAGGGCTAGAGCCTTCCTATTTTCAACAGATATTAATCTTACTCTTAAATTATGCGAAGTTTTCATAATGTCAATTTAATAACAAATTGTTGAGCTAAATTCAAAATCTAGTAGAAAATTCAAACTTGTTGTAAAATATCAAAAATTAAAATTGGCAGTTTCATCTCGTTGGAATCAATTTCACTGAAAATTAATATACTGTTATTTAGCGTCACTTAATTTGACATAATGTTAACACCGCATTTCTGTAAGTCTTCCACTATTAAGTTATATATAGTGATATCAGTATTTGAAATATCTATAAAAATATGATTAGAGAAATATTTCGTCTACCGAAAATATTTATAATCAGTTTTCTCCTAATAGGAAGCAAAGTGGTAAAAGAGTCCGATATTTCATATTAAACAAAAATAAATCTTCTTATCAAAATTTGCTAAAATCGCTTAACCGTTTTTAAGTAGTTCTGTTGATGCACTTCTGCAACATTTATATATATACATCTAAATATTCTTCTCAGAATACTTTAATTACACGAGAACCATGTAAAAACATGCTACCTCCATATCTTCCAGTTTTAAGCTTGCTGGAAATTTATGAAAATTAATTTTAATTTTAATATGAAGAGTTGAAATTTACCTCAAATGCGGCACAAACGCCCACACATGCATTTACAAGTATGTTTCAACAACACATAGGCAGCGTTAGGTCGGCAAAGTGTTTAAGACTGTGTTAAAATTCAAAGTACAGGCCAAACCACTAGAAATGCTGCACCGGCACTTGACACCTTTCACCTAAGGGGAATTCTAAAATAATTTCTATTTGTTTGTTGGCTTATGTTCAAAGCCCCAAGAAGTAGAGCGCACTTAAAAATTTTAAATGCAGCAATTCGTTGCATTGTTGTTGATAAAATATTTTCGTTTATTAAAAATAAAATTAGATAGTAAAATTTTGCCAAATGAGATTTCAAATGAGTAAAAGCTCAAAAGTATAAAGGAAGAATTTCTAAACTCTATTATTCGATATAAAAAAATTCTCGCTTGACCATTCTTGATGAATACTTACTTAGGTACTGCGAGTAATCTCTATAACTAAACTTGACGGACTTGATGACAAAGAGCTTACGTCAGTTACATTTTATAGAGATTTTTATACAAAAGAAGCGGTCTAACATTAATATGCTGAACCGCTAAATCTAAACAAAAGTTATTTAACAACACTGAGGAGAAAGCAAAGAAATACTTGTAGACTGGTTTTATATGGAATACTTCGCAACTAGTTATTATAGGATGTATCAGGGGAATCAAGCAAGTTTATATATTCTTGAGCAGCATAAATTGTTTAAGGAATGTTGGTTTATGTTAGGTTATGCCATATACATACGTTAAGGTAATTTTCATTTTCATAATAAAAACCATGATGTTTTGGGAATTTACTACACTGAATATAGCAATCTTGCAACTTTTCAATATAATTTTTGTAGAATGATTTATCTTTCACTTTTTCGACGATTACCTCTTACTGTTTCTTAATTTCATTCCAGCGAGCATTCTTTTGAGATCGAGTAACAGGAAAATATCACTGGAAGCAATTCGAAGCCGAATTCATGCAATATTAAGGAAAACATAGATAGATATGAAGAAAACTTCAAATATTAGCTAAACAAGAAACAGAAATCATTTGGCAAAGCCGCGCAGGTGCATGACTTATAACATAAGAGGAAAAAGATCTTTATTTTGATTTTGATCGATCAGTTTATATATATGTATATGTGTTCAATCTGAACAATTTCTTCGGAGATTGTACCGTTGGAGATCGATATCAAAAATTAGGGAATAGTTCGCGTATATGTATATACTAAAAGCTTTCAACGTTTCCTTCTTGGTGTCGCAAAACTCGGGAAATTTTCAATACCTGTAAAGCGTATAAAATGCCTCTGAAAATTTTGAAAAGACCCGACTCTCCACAAACAGCACTAAAAGTACTGAAATGGCACTTCAATACTGCAACAAATTCCAACAAATATAAACTAAAATTTTAATAGCATGCAAAAATAAAACTTTTTAAAAGCTTAATAAACAAATATCCGTTGCGAAATGAAAATTGCCTGAGTATCCCTTCAATTTCACCAGCATTTCATTATCCAGATAAAGAAGAAATTTACGGCTCAGCCGAAATGGCGCTTAAAAGCTTTAAAAACAACGACCATACATAGCCCACAGCAACGAAATCAGGAAACGGCAGCAACAAGTGGTGGCGCCTACATACACAGGACACACACACACAAAGCCACACACTTTAAAACCATTGTGTCACAAATGAACAGATTTTCAAAAAACACAAAGCCGAATCAAACGAAAGCATTCAGGCAAACCAAACAAAATCAAAAACAACAAAAAAAAACCAAAACACAAACAAGACTGTAGCGGCAGAAGGAGGCGTAGCCTTGCCAGTGAAAGGAGTGCTAAAAAGGAGGAGAGCAAACAAAATAACAACGAAAACAAAAAAGTTTACATGCCGACAGGCGACCATAAAAATGAATAACATCCGCCCAAAGACAGTGTGCGCGAAAAATCAACAAATAAACAAACAAACAAACGTACAAACAGGCAGGCATAGAAACACTGATAAAACATGAAAGCAAACACGAAAACAGTGGCAACACCACACCCATATGAATACACGCGCACAAACAGAGACCGTAGACAGCCACAAGTACATATTATGTAATAAGAAAGAAATGAAATTAAAAGAAAAAGAAAGCAAAGAAATCAGAATAATAAAGAAAGGACAAAGTGTGCGCGCCCATTCGAGGCAAATAATGAAATCAAAATGCTTGAAGGGTGGCATTTGTGCGTCGTAAAAGTTTCGAAGAAACTGTCAGCGTCCACAATGCTGTGAAAAACTGACGGACAACTAGCAAACACATGTCCTGCCTTTGTCACGTTGTCTCACAAACAGCTAAAGGATAACGGCGCATACCAAGCGAAGACGTGAGAGACGCCACGCACCTGCTGTGACAATGCTGCGAGTAAAGAGTGAAAGCTGTGGGAAATTGTAAGGCTAATGCGTTTGTGGTCTAAAAATTATAAAAACTAAGACTACATGTCAGCAATGTGGTGAACTAGAATTTTTTACAATATCCACTGAAATTTATGCCTCATCAGCATTTGTGTTAATGTTATTCCTGTAAATTACTTAACAACGTATGTTGTTCTAGTACTTCTAAACTAGAAAAATTTAAACTAGTCTACAACTAGTTATTATTAAGTAGATACGGAAGTGAAGAATTTACTGCTTTAAAAATTTCTTTGAACATTTTAAGACAAAATTATTTCTAAACTAGTTAAATTTAAACTAGACAACAACTAGCTATTTCGTGAAAGCTTGAAAAATTTAGCAACTAATAGTAATGTAAACAATAAATAATTGCTTGCCATAATTATATAATGCAGTATTTTGCAAATATTTCCCCTTGTCAGCTCGAAATTACCCGCCAAAGTTTTCAACAGTAAAAATATTTCAATTAGAAAAGAAGGTCAATTAAGAACTAGTTCGCAACTAGTAGACAAACCTATCTCCTTCTTAAAAGAAATTTCTACAAATTCAATATCAAAAACTTACCTTACTCGAAGTAGTACTGCTGCCTTTCTCCAATCTTCGATCTCCCCTTCCATTTCCGCAAATTCGTTATTTGTTTCCCTTACTTCTACGCTTTGGCAGGCGAAATCTTTGTTGTGGTATGGAAAGGCGAATCATTTAGGCGGACTATGACGCCTCTTTTCGCGGAGTTTCACAGTTGGTTGCGTTAAACTGTAATTTTGGAGAAAAAAATCGCATTTGAATAAAAAGGTGCGGATTTTGAAGAAAACATGTTGAGATGAGGGTGTAATAAGGGGAAATAAAATAAAAGACTGGGGAATGAAAGCATTAAAGAAAATAAGCCAATTTAAGAGACTTAGGAGAGAAGTAAAAAATCATAACCAAAATATGTGCCACTTGAATAAAAGAATGAGCACAGTGAGACTTAATAGTTCGGGATATAGAATATCCACATAGATATAGTGGATTATGTAATAAACAAGGACATTTTCATAAATTAATAAATATTAAATTTTACAGATAACTAGAATAAATTTTTTCATTTAAGCAAATTTTCTCTAAAAAGGAAGTGTTGCCAACTATAAAAATTTACGAACAAAAACTCAGATAAAATCATGAATGAGGTGTGATTAGTTTACAGTGAATTAATACTAATCATCTTTGACGCGGAGAAGTTCCAAAATTGATAAATTTACTTATTTTTTATATAAGGCAAAAAATAGGGTTGCCACCTGTCACGCGATTTGAGTTGATTTTTTTTATTGTTTAGTCAAACTGTATGTCAAATTAAATTTATATGTGACTTGCAGCCTAATTTGTATAAAAAAATGGTGTTGCCAGCTTTTCTATAAAAGTAAATATATTAGAGATTTTCATCATTATTTTGTACATTTACCTTACATATTTTAATTTAATTATATATATTTTAATTTCTAATTATATGTATTTTGTTCAAACTGTTAGACTAAATTTATTTTTCAGCAGGGCTGCCACCTATTTTGCAAAAAAATTTAATTAGTTTTAACATATTTTAAGATTTATTTTTTTAGTTTATTCAAAGCATATTGCATAAATAAAAAAAAACATTATTTGTAACAAGGTTGCCCACTTTTGGAAAATCAATTGGGTCCTTAAATGTCATCATCAATTCAAAATTGAAAAAGTTGTCATCTATTCTAAAGATTAATTAGTTTAGCTACAAAATTAAGTAGTATGGTGTTAATTTTTTTCAAAAATAAAATTTGAGTTGCCACCTAGTTTCAATTTTTTTTTTTTTGAGGAAACCGAAAACTTGATATTTCTTTTCAAAATATCACTATATAAGTCTTGAGAGAGTTGCCACTTTTTTATTCAATTAGTTAAATATGTTTAATTAAGATGTAAGTTCACTAGCTTCATTTTAAAATTATAGCTATATCTTAATACTTTAACAATAATATATTTCAATCCCTTAAACATTTATTTTTGAAAATAGTAAATTTATATGAGAGTTACTTAAATATATGTGATTATTAAAATGATGTCACGCTTAAAAAAAAATTACAAAAACATATTATTTTCGGAAAAAAATTTAATTCCGCCCAAGGGATTTTAGAAGGTGGAACCAGCTGAACTTGCCAACTCAATGTTCGGTATATTTTTCAGAATTTAAAAAAATATTTATGCAAAACTTTACAAGAGACGCACAATAAAAACAAACAAACTTTATTCAAGTATCTATGTCACACACTCGTTAAGTGTCGGTGAATTTAACACACCGATCGCAATGTCATACATGCGCCCACAGGACGACAAAAATGACAAGGAAAATGTTTCCGCCTCAAATACACCCATCGATTGAAGTGCACTCACGAAGTCATTTTGTTGTGTTGTGACGTGTTATTTAACGTTCAAATGACTTACACACCAAGCGAGCTGAATGACGAACAGACCGATGGATGGAAGGATGGACGTACGGACTAGTGAACCAATAGCCGGCAGTGTTGGCTGTCAATATTGCACAAGCATCGATGAGCGACAGGTGCTGCTGTTGTCACTGTCGTCGGGTGTTTATTTTACGGTAACAACACAGCTGTTTTCACTACCAGCCGCTTGTTCCTGCCAGCGGCCATACGATTGGCACTGTTACTGTGTACATATGCTGCCGTAGGCCTCAAAGACCATTACAGTTATCGGTGAATGTTTGCTTTACATACAAATATGCACAAATATTTGTACAGATTTTGACGTGCTCAATATAAATGCTCCAGCTTGTCGGAATAGAGTTGTTTTCACTCATTTTGCTGACAGGAATGCATCGATACAGAGTCCAAAGATTATCCTTGCTTGTTTGTTAAGTAAAGAAAACTTAGTTACTAGCAACTAAGCAATTCTGGGAATAGTTTTCTTGTACTCTTAGTGGAAAACTTTATTGGTTTTATCAGAGCTGTCTGCCATATAGATTTTCAGAAACGTTGCTAGCTTCTTACATCACGTACCTATGATCGGTTTTCTCATCACATTTGACTAAAAAACCTGTCAGGTCTAAATAGAATCTATGTGTGTACAAAAATTTGGCCTAAGTATTTTTATTTATCCAATGGCACTATTCGTAATTTCAACCGTAGCTCTTCATCAGATCTGCTCTTTATATAACTGATCAGCTGATCGTCAGTATGTCGCAAATTTAATTTTAAAAATCTATGTGAAGAAAAATCATCATATCAAAACGAAATTCAAACCCGCTTCAACATTTTATATATATATTTCCAAATTTTTCGCTAGGGCTTTAGCAAAAAGCAAAGTCATCAGTGCGTTAAAGGGTTATCTTATCATTAACAGTTCACTTCATGAATAATTTTGTTTGAGCAAGTTATGCCAACACAACTGCTTATTATTTTATGACATTTTTGTTATTTTTATCCTTATCGCTTGGAAAGCCAGTATGGCTCATACTCACCCACACATACAAGTATAATATACAGAAATTCATACATTTCAAGTGTACCCAGCAATACAAAATTATAACCTAATTTATAATAAAACCTATTGGCAATCTCTGTGTAAAGAAAACAACTTTTGAAAAAAAAAGATGAATTAATAAGCTTTGGTTTAGAAACGATGGCAACTGTGATACAAAAAAATTTCAAAAAAAAATTTCAATACTCTATATTACTTTGCTATTCTTTACTACTTAAGTTTTTCAATTGGAGATTAATTAAAAAAGATTAAGAACTAAGTGGCAAGTCTTACAAAAACATAAAAAAAAATTATTTGACCTGTATATACATACATATTTGCATTTTTGTGTATATAAAACCGATTTTCTAACATTTTTCTTTACTAGCAAAGCTGCCATACTTATAAATTTTCTCAATGAAAGAATTATTAATAACAAAATAATAATAATTCTAGATTTATTATTTATACCCTAAAACAATTAAATAATAAAAAACTTAATTAATTTGGAATTTAGGTGGCAACTCTGAACAAAAAATTAATTTGATAATTACTTTAATAATAACACTTTCGTAAAAATAACTCATTCGCTAATTTTTTAATAATTGAAAAAAAATCTGCGTTGCCATATTGTTGATTTTTATTTTTTACAATATTCCAAAATAGTAAAAAAGTGTTCGAAATCAAAACGAACATTGGAAAAATTAAAAAAAAAAATTATACAAAATATGTGGCAACGCTGAGAAAAAAAGTTATGTTTAATTAATGCGATAATATTTACATTTTCCAACAAAGAACCTTAAATCAAATTTTTTTTTTAATTTCAAATTTATGTATCAAATATTCAAAAACACAACAAAACAATCTAATTTAAAAAAATCATTTAAGAAGTAATTTATCATTAAACACTAAAAATCTTAAAAATGAGTTCAACGAATTTTGCCTATTGGGTAGAGATATATTTGGACTTTGCCGTATGTTGATTACTGAATTTCAGACATCTGTCATTAATCACACGATATTTTATCGCCTCAGTGAGATATTAATCGGTTTTGTTATATCAACTTTAACTAAAGGGGATTCACAAAATACAGCTTCAAATTATTCCGTTATATAAACCGTCTCTTGATAAGAGTGTTGTCATAATATATGACACTGTTCACAAATGCGTTGTAATCTTCTGACATGCTCATAAAGAGATAAGAAATGCAATAAAATGTGAAAGTTTAACTAGGTTCAATAGAACAGCTCATAACAATGCTAATAGCAATATTATTATAATTAATATTATTTCAGTTCTCAATGCTTGAGAGTATTTCTACGTTTCCTCTTTCTAAACATACACTTTCGATTTAAACTCCCGTAACCATAAGACAAATCACAGCTCAGATTTTCAATCCGCATAAATTTGTGCGCCTACAAATTGGGCAATTACCATGATATTCAAATTTATTCGCTTGGAAAATTACACTTTGTCGCTGTCATCCATCGTCGTCGCTTATGAGGGACACACACAAATCCTCAAATCAAGCAGATAATCAGAAGCGTAAGAAAACACAACAAATTGTCTATAAATAAGTATCAAGTGCTCGAGAAAGAGTATATACCATAAAGTTCGCACCCAAATAGACGCGTCTTCATTTATAATATATGTAAAAATGTCTATCGATATTGAAAATGTATATTTGATTCGTGTGAATCTCAATCAGTGCTTGATTGTACAACATTTGCAGGCGCAATAAAAAACGTGCATACATTTAGGCGCGCTTAGTAGGCACCTATGTGTGCTTGCCCTGTGGTAAATCGTTGCTGATATATGCGAGACCTTATGCTAAAGGCTAGAGAGTACAGAGGCAGGGTAGTGGATTTTATTCGAAAGTGCATAGATATAAAGTGACAGAAGGCGAAAGTGACATTTGCAGAAAAACTTGGCAACGGTGTAATGTTGTTATCTCAGAATTGTTTGAAATCACAGCAAAAAGGTTTTGCTAGCACTATACCTTATATTATTTCTTCCGATCGTGTTTCGTTTTCGTTTAGTTTAAAATCTCTGATAACCGACCCAGTAAAGTAGTAAATAAGTGGCTAAGGCATTTCTAGGTATTAAACATGTTGTTTTTTATGTACGCTTTGGTTAACCTAAACTTCAACATATAGTCTTCAGAAGCTTCCATGAACATTGTAAAAAATAAACTCGTCTAATGGAAGTCGAAATAAAAATTGTATAAAAAGTGTGTTTGATGCGCCTAAATGTATGCTTACAAGGCAAATAT